GGGTTGTTGTGAAGACTCAGTTTGATATTGCCCATGGTGAGCCTAGCCCGGCACCCAAAGATGCTGTGTCTGCTACGTGCTAGTTCCCCGAACTGGAAGCCCAGAGTCCTAGGCTAATGTCCTAAGACTTTAACATGTTTTTGGAGTTTGTGGCAGCTTAGACCGGTGACGAGATAGGAGGACAGCCTCACTTCTGAAGGGTGATCTACTGTCTCCAAATGAGCTTGGTTATTTGCATTGTAGGTGGTTATATAGCACTTCTTAGAGTACACATTGCCTGATAGCATGTTAGAGTGCACACTCTGAGCTATCCCAAATGGCCTGGGATTCTGCATGTCTATCTAGTACCTGGTGTGGACCACACTTGAAATAACAAGGAGAGGCAAACCAGCATCATGGGTAGCCTGTTGCTGGGGACACCTCGGCCCTTTGATAGAGGAAAGGCACGTTTTTTTCTAAAGAGTGCCACGGAAGATTTTGGCAGTGGGTGTTCGAAGGGTTTGGGATGTCTTTTTATAACTCAGAGGACAATGAGAGAAAAAGCATATGGCATCTTTTCAGTGGCTTGTTCTGAACTCTGAGCCATTGTAATTTCTCAGGATCAGTCTGGCAAATAGCCAGCTGAATGGACTTCAGAAGGGCCACACTCAAGGGCGGTCCTGCAGCAGTAGTCTTCCGGGATGGTGGCCCAGGTAAAGAGCCAGCCCCCGGCTGTGGAGGAAGCCACTGTGTTCTGTAAACACAGAGATACAAGCACATTGTCCAGTGTGCCACTCTGTGAGCGCCACACACGTGTGTGCACACATGCCTTGCCTCTTTATCTCATGCTTTATTTTCCATTGCACAGGATTTGGGAAAAATCTTCTCATGTGACCAGCTGAGTAGAAGTTTGAACCAGAGGGATGTTACAAGGGTTCAAATCAGTCATTTTTGTTAGAGCCATTGTGTACCTTGGGCTTGGAAGGAAATTATAATTCATCAGGTCCTTTCTCCCCTTTAGATTTTGGTGTACATTTTGCCCCTCTTTGTTTTGGCTCAAGGCTAGAGGAAGCAGTGCCTGACAACTCAGCTGTCCAGGATCCTTTCCAGCTTGAATATCCTAGGAATCTGTCTGTGATTCGGAGCAGTGGCACTATCTGAAGTTTCCAGGGTTACAATGCCAATGTTGGGGACATGATAGCAGAACAGCAAATTGATTTCTGTAACAATTTTTCAATCCTTGTAACTGATAAATTTTCACTTTTGTTTTTTTCTGTGACATTTTTTTTTTCAATGCTGTGGGATTGAACCCAGGGTTTTGCATATGTTAAGCAAGCTCTCTACCACTGAGCTACATCCCCTCTATTTCTTGTGCATTTTATCAAATGAATTACAAATAGCAGTTTTTTACGGTGCTGATGTGAATTTGGAGTTGGTGGGCATTTTGGGGCCCTGCCCTGTGACTCCAGTTCTCAAGTAGATGAGGTATTTCATGCTCCTGACCACTGAGGACTTGACATGTGGAAAGGCTGAGGATGTTTCAGTAGTTTAAATATGTTAGATTGCTAATTCTTCTCACTTGTGAAAACAGCTGGCATTATAGAGAACAATCCTTAACTTGCCCCAGTGGCTCTAAAGCTCAGGCTCTGAAGCAAGGGAGAAATTGATCTCTTAATGTGGTTTTCTTCTCACTGTAGTTTTTGTTCTGTGTGTCATTATGCATTTGAGTTAAAGCAGCCAAGGGCAGCCAAACTGCCCTTGTGTGGGTGAGTGAGGCAGTGTGGTCTGCTTGGGAAAGCATTTGCTTAGTTTTCCAAAGGGCTGTGGATTCCAGCCCTGCTTCTGCTTGGAATTCTGTAGCCATGGCCTGCCACAGTGAGCCCAGAGGATTGTCAGCTTCCCAGGGCAGTACCAAGGGGCTACAGGCCTCCTGGGGTAGGTTCCCTCACTCTTGGGGGCCTGGCTTCCCTTCACATCCCAGTAGGGAATCTTGATAGGAGCAAATACAGTTCCTCCAAGACTGACTTGCAAAGAGATACTCCTTTGTGCAAGTGGGTGGGGGCGTCTCCGTCTCTCTGTGTCCTTAGGGATCCTTTGGGGTTGAGCACAGGGACAGTGAGAATTAAGACAAGATGCCTAAACCTACCCATGAACCCTTACACCAGGCCTCTGCACTGGGTTAGTGACAGTGCCCTTTGTGATGTCTTCAGGCCTTTGTTGAAGTCCCCCTTGAGGGTCTCAGGCTTCTGCTGTGTGGTGTGGAGGGCTTGTTTCCCACTCCTCCATCCAGGCAGAGTGTTGGTGGGGGGAGTGTCATTCTGAGCCCAGGGTGGGAGTGACAGGGTGACTCACTGAGACCACAAGATAAAAGTAGCTCTCAGGATAGAGGGAGAGGGCCAGGGCCAGCCTTCTGGATCCCCAGCACAGCTGTCTAGGATCATTCTAATCTCTGCCAGCCACCTTTTCTGCAGATACCTAGTGGAAAAGCCATTCTATTCCAAGGCATGTGGGAGATGATACATTTCATAATGTGCCTAATATCCTTGTACAGTGAATTCCATCTGCCTTCCAGGCTGCTGGAGATATGGAGCAGCTCATGTGCTCACTGAGCGGGTAGCTTGGAATTTTCTCCTCTTTGAACATCAGTGTGGATTTCCTTTAAAGTTTCATTGTACAAGACTTTTTCCAAATGGCTTATGGAGCTCAGCACAAACTGTGCCTTCCTCATAGTGTTGTTTTGTATTTTCTGCTACAGATCTGCAGCAGACTACTTCCCAGAAACAATGCATAAAACTGTAGGGAGAAATTAGTTTTATGACATCTGGAGGTGAACTTATTGCCATTCCCCACCATGCTGTACACCCTCTCGGGGCCTAGACCTGACTCTTCTGCCCTCTGCCATGCCTTGGTCTCTCCTTGTGGCCAGGAAGGGCCCCGCTGGGGATGGCTGGCCCCAGGGAGCTCTGAGGTTCAGAATGTGGGAGCTTCATTCTTGGGCTCCTCAGAATTCAGACCACAGTACTTTGCATTGGGATAGAGGATGTGGGTTGTAATCCCTGCAGCTGCTTCCCTCCTCTCTCCCCTATGTGTACTTGTATGTGTGGTGGGGTTGAGAGGAGGAGGGGGGAGACAAGAGAAATGACATCTTTAAATTTCCCATTTTTATTGAAAGTGCCCATATGATATACAATGAAATGAATTATGAATTAGTGTAAACTCCAATCAGGTTGAAAAAAAAAATTAGCAGTGCCTGTAGAGGGTCCCTCCTTTAATCACAGCCCTCTCCTTCTTCCCAGGGATAACCATTATCTTGACCTCTAACTCCACAGTTAAACTTTGCCTGCTTTTTTTTTGGTATCGGGGATCAAACTTGGGTCCTTGCGCTTGCGAGGCAGGCGGTGGAACCACTGAGCTAAATCCCCGGCCTTTGCCTGCTTTTGAACTTCAGGTAAATGGAATCAGACCATAAATATGTATTCTGTCTGATATCTTCTGCTCAGTATTATATTTTTGAGATTCACTGTGTGGTTGCAGATGAATGCTGTTTCCTGATTTTTTAATTGAGGTATAGAATTCTATTGCATATCCCATCACTGGGAGAGGAGGAGGATTGCCAGTTCAAGCCCAGCCTGGGAAACTTTGTATGACTGTTCAAAGTAAAAAAAAAAAAAAAGACTGACTGTGTAGTTCAGTGCAAAGACTCGAGTTCAACCTCCAATACTCAAAACAAAACAAAATAAAATAAAAACCCTTTCATAACATTCCTACACCATGTTTTACCTATCCACTGTAGCACTGATGGGCCTTTGGGTTTGTTCTTTTTTTGGGCGATTACATATTCAGTTGTGAACATTTTGTGCATGTCTCTTCGTAAGCTATATGTATGCATTTACATGGAGTGTATTCCTAGGAGTGGAATTACTGGGTTATGGAATAGGCACACATTCAGCTTTATTAGAAACCCATGATGAGTTTTCCAAAGTGGTTTTAGCAATTTACTCTCCCACCAGCGGTGTGCAAAGGCTTCAGTTGCTCTGCATCCTTACCAGCATGTGACATTTTCAGGTTTTTTTGGTTTAGCCTTCTAATCAGTGTGAAGTGCTATCTCAGTTGGATTTATCTGGTAATTAATATGGCTGAAAACTGGTTCATCTGTTTATTAGCCATGTGGGTGTCTTCTTTTTTTTTTGGTACTGAGGATCAAACTCAGGACTTCGTGCCTGCCAGGCGGCCGCTGAGCTAAGTCCTTGGCCCTATGGCTGTCTTCTTTGTGAGATATCTATTCAAGTCTTCAGCTTGTTGTTCTGTTGGTGTGTGTGTGTGTGTATTGGTTTGTAGAAGTTTTCTTTCTTTTTTTTTGCTATGCCAGAGATTGAACCTAGGGCCTTCTCACTGAGCTATATCCTCAGAATTTTATTTATTTTTTTTTTATTTTGAGACATGGTCTTCCTACATCCCTAAGTTGCCCATGATTGGCTTGAACTTGTGATCCTCCTGTCTCAGGTGGGATTACAGACATGCAGTACCAGGCCTGCTTGTAGGAATTCTTTATAGATTCTGGATAAAAACCTTTTGTTGGTTTTATAAATTCCCAGCTATCTCTTAAAGCCCCCACCCAGGACCGGGTGCATACTAGGCAAGCACTTTATCACTGAGCCCCTGGGCTCCTATCCCTTGAGCCTTCCTGCCTGCCTTCCTTCCTTCCCTCCTTCCTTCCTTCCTTCCTCTTCTTCTTCCTCCTCCTCCATCATCTTTTTTTAATGCTGGTGGAAATGAAATCTAGGGCCTCATGTATGCTAGGCAAATGCTCCACCTCTGAGTCATATCACCTGTCCTCTTTTAAGCCTTTAATGTAGTGGACTGACCCCCCCCCACTACTGCATGTGGATACACAGTAAAATAATCTGGCTTCTCACTCAGCATTCAGATTGCTCACCCACACCTGGGTGAGTATTTAATCATCTGCCTCCTCCTCGCTGGTATTGTGTTGTGACAGAATGCCTTTTCCTCTTGATTCACAGGGTCCTCGTGGGTGCACCAAAGGCAGATTCCAAATACAGCACTTCAGTTAAGTCCCCTGGGGCTGTGTTTAAGTGCCGTGTACATACCAACCCTGACCGGAGATGCACCGAACTGGACATGGCTCGAGGTGGGTGGAGATCATTGCCAAGGTGGAAGTGGATTCTGCACTTTACTCTTTTTCTTGCTGAAATGGCCTGATCATTTATCCACTCGTCCATCTGTACATTCACCCCTTCCTCCCACAGATGTGTATTGAGTACGTGCTAGCTATTAAGCACTAGAATATTCCTATGAACAAAAAAGTCTTGTCATCCTGGGTCTTGAAAATTAGTGGTCAAAAGAGACATTAAAACAATTCTAATTGAGAGAAGACCAGAGAGAAGGTGGGTATTTGATTGAGCCTAGACTGGAGAGTCAGGAAAGGCCCCCTGAGGACCTTCCCACATGATTAGAAGGATGCATAGTAGTTAGCTGGGAAGGTCTGAGAGGCAGAACCTCTGGCAGAGGGGTGGCATTTTGAAGGTAAGAGTGAGGACAGTGTAGCTGGAGTGGTGAATAGAGGAAGTTGGTAAGATGGACTGGGGCTAGATCACAGGGGCCTACTGGACCAGGGGTAGGTGTTGTAATTTTTTTCTGTTTATGGGAAGATATCAAAATCAATTTTAGGTTTCATATTTTAAGTAGGGAAAGATATGATTAAATGGATATTTTTAAAAGCTCACTTTTGCTCATGGAAAAATACATGTGTGGAATCAGATGGATCGAGCTGGAACTATTTGGGATTGTCCTGTAGATTGTTGGGTTTCAAGCCCCTCACCCTATAAAACCAAGATCAGGTTATTTACAAGGATTCCCTTGAGAAGGCTAAATGAGATAATGGAGGCAAGTATCAGAACCACACTTGAAAAATAGGAGCTGTTTTATTATAATTATCAATTCAAGTCCTTGCTTTCTCCAAAGTTTGTTCTCATCAAGATCTTCTAATTATTATTATTATTAATTTCTTTTTTGGTACTGGGGATCGAACTCAGGACCTTTCACTTGCGAGGCGGTCACTGGAACCACTGAGCTAAATCCCCGGCCCCAATTATTATTATTAAATAAAAGAGTCATTGTCATGATTTTCTTCAGCAGAAGAAAGGTGTCAGTAGTGTTCTCTAGTGCTACTCAGGATGATTGATTTGAGAACTGCTTGTTACTGTTGCTCCAGAACATCAGTCAGTACACTGCTTCATTCACTGAGAGACTTGCTATGAATAAAATTGGCTGGATGAAGCTGGGTACATAGTGACGGCATCGCTTTACATTTTGTTACAAGTTCCTATAGAGTTGGTTAACATTTTGAGTGAAATTTCTTAGTTCCTTATAGGTAACAAACATTTGAGCTGTGGGCTTTGAAAAGCAGAGCTCATTCCTCCACCCAAATCTGATTTCTCTCTTCTTTCTTCCAGGGAAGAATCGGGGTACGTCCTGTGGAAAGACCTGTCGAGAAGACCGGGATGATGAGTGGATGGGGGTGAGCCTGGCCCGGCAGCCCGGTGTGGATGGCCGAGTGTTGGTAAGGCCCCTGGGGGTTCTGTGAAGAGAGGGTGGCTGGCACCTAAGTGTGCATGACTTTGACCTGTTAGGAAGGTGACAGGGCAAGGCTTTGGATCCTGCACTGTGCTCACACAAATGACTTATCTTTTTACTGTCTTCATCTGCCAAATAATAATGTCTGTCCCATGGTGCTGAAATATGGCTATTGAAAAAAGACAAAATGTATATGACCAGAAGTGTCTAAATATCACTCATTCTATAAGTAATTTTTTTGTGTGTACGTCTTTAAATAGAGTTATAATTTACATAAAATACACAAATCTTAAGATTGCAGTTTGGGTTTTGGCAATTGGACACAACTGTATCACACTCCTATACCATAATATAGAATATTTCCATCATCCCAAAAAGTTCTCTGAGCTCCTGTCCAGCCAACTTCCCCCACCTCTGAGACAGCCACTGCTATGATAGGTAATATCATATATGACTTTTGGTTTTCCTAGAACTTCATACAAATGCATTTCTACAGTGTGTGCTCTTTTGTGTAAGCCTTTATTTATTTATTTATTTGTTTATTTGTTGGTACCAGGGATTGAACTCAGGACCTTTCGCTTTTGAGGCAGGCGTGGTGCCATTGAGCTAAATCCCCGGCCCTGTGTAAGCCTTTTTTAAAGGAAGATATTGTGGAGATTCATCCATATTGATGTTATCAGCAGTTCATTCTTATTTGTTCCTATATACTATTACATACTATAAAATAGGTGCTTTTAAAAAAAAGAGATGGAGTCTCCCTATATTGCTCAGGCTGGACTCAAACTCTTGGGCTCAAGTGATTCTCCTGCCTCAGCTTCCTGAGTAGCTGGGACTATGGGCATGTGCCATTGAGCCTAACTTAAAATACATGTTATTTCAGTTAGTCATTGTTTGACTTCCAAAGTGCATGTGATGTGTTCTGATCCATTGGTACTTTGAGAGAAAGAGGAAAGTCTTTGCTATTGAGGCTCCCAATGACCTAGAGCTATGCAGCTCAATGAGCCAGCCACTAGTCACAGTTTATTTAAATTTGTCAAAATTAGACATTCACTTAGGGCCAGGGATTTAGCTCAGTGGTTTCGCCGCCTGCTGTGCAAGCACAAGGACCCGAGTTCAATCTCCAGTACCAAAAAAAAAAAAAAATTAAACATTCAGTTTTCACCTACATTAGCCACATTTTAAGTGATCAGTAGCCGCCATGTGTTGTATTGTTTTAGACATCACAGAGAGAGAACATTTCCATCGTCTTAGAAAATTTTGTTGTTGTCTGTTTCCTCTTTTTCTTTTAAACCTTTCTGTTAACACATACAGCTGCAGCTCACAACCTGGTAACTGTTTCACACGTGTGTGCTCAGGCACCCCACTGCTCATACCTGAATGGGTCTCCTGTTGTCCTCACCTGCCAATCAGTTACCTTGTCCCCTTCTCCCCACCTCCCAAGATAACCACTGTGACTTCATAGGCATCTTCTGCCATTGGCTTTTCTTGAAATCTGTAGGAAGATATTTATCATAAAGCATAAGATCAAGAAGGGAAAATAAGACCAGCTGCCACTTATTGAGGGCCTTCCTTGGCCCACAGCTATAAAGCTGAAAGTTTTATGTATATTTTATCTCTAGAGAAACAGGTTTTTTCATGAGAATTTAAGTAAAGTGGTCCTGTCCCCTCTCTCTTTTTGGACTAAACTTCTCAATGGCAGAATTCCACCCTCGGTGTAGTTAAGTGTTTCCTTTTGATCAGGCCCCTTGGGAAGGGGGAAGCAGATGGATGCTGTTGCCAGCATTGCAGGGCCTCCCAACTGGAACCCACTATAGGTCCTGTTGAGTTCCCCACCCCCTAGTCCTGCTGTTTGCCTTGGATTTCAGTCCTTTAATCATATGGGGGAGGCCTGGACCCTGACCAAGCTGTCACGCTCCCTTAGGCCTGAACCCTGACCCAGTGATGACTGGATGACTTGACCCCAGAATGGCTAGAACTCTTGCCTGCCATTTTGAGGAAAGAAAGAGAAGATCTGAACATTTATAAATCAAAGAGTGGCCTGAAGTTGTGATTCAGAACAGAGAGGAGTGGGTGGACTGGTGGCAGCACAACACAAGATGTTCTTAAGGCACTGAGTACAGGAGCCGGAGTTTGCTCCTGTGAGGATATTTCTTCTCCTCTTGAATGGATAGTGCTGATGTGGTCAGGAACTTGTTTCCAGAGGGGCAGGAGAGAGGTTCTGCATCACTGCAGATAAATACAAGAAGGGGCTGTCTCTGGGGACCTGAACAGCAGTGAGTGCCACAAGGAAGATTTAGCCAAGGAAGCCAAGGAGGCAGAGTTGAGTACTTGTAGGTAATGAATGATGCAGTGAATAATCCTACCTAATTAATTGCACACAGAGCTATTTTTCTTAAGTTTTTTGCGTTGATTACATCATCCATCAGTAAGCCACTCTGTATGGGCGCTGGAGAAGGAAAGGGGCACCTGAAAGCATCTCCTGTTCTTATACCTTTTGTTTCCAATTATGATCAGAAACTTGTAACATACAGTGTATCATCCTGACCTTTTAAAAAAGTGTACAGAATAGTAGTATTAACTATATCACATTGTTTTTTTTATTTTTTAAATATATTTATTGGTACATTTTAGGTATAAAATACATTTACATTTATCATTGGGTGTTTATACCAGAACATGATGCATCTTAGTTCTTATTTTTTCTCCCACTACCTGTGCACCTTTCACCCCCTCCACCCCTCCCTGTCTACACAGAGTTTGATTCTGTTTTTTTTTCTCATAGTTTTTTTCTTTCCCTTCTTCCCTTTCCCCTTTCCCTTCCACCATCCCCAAACCCTTGGACCTTTTCTTATTTCAAATTATCAATTATTCATTTTAATCATTTTCATCCTTATTTACACTTTCAATTTCTCACACTAGAGAAACTATTCAGTATTTACACGTGTGTCCTATTTATTTCACTTAAGAGTGTGGCCTCAATATGTATCCATTTATCTATAAATGTCTCTAGTTTCTCATTCTTTATGGCTGAGTAGTACTCCATTTTATAAAAAAAACACATCTTCTTTATCCAGTTTCCAGTCGATGGTCATTTGGGCTGTTTCCAAGCTTTAGCTATTACAAATTGTGCCACTATAAACATAGGTGCACATTATATCACATTGTTTTGAAACAGAACTCTAGAGCTTTTCCATCTTGCAAATTGAAAGCTTTATTTCCATAGAACATCTTCCTTTTCTTTCTTCCTCTGGTCCCTGGCAACCACATTCAAATTTCTATACTAAGAGTTTAACTATGTTAGATCTCATATAAATGGTTCCATGTAGTATTTGTCCTTTTGTGAGAAGTTTCTTTAACTTAGCATAATATCTTCAAGGTTCATCCATATTGGAGCATATGACAGGATTTTCTCTTTTAAGGTGGAATAATATTTTTTGTATGTATATGTTGCATTTTCTTCATTCACTGTTGGCATTTGGGTTGCTTCTGTCGCTTGGCTATTGTAAATAATGGTGCTATAAATATGCATCTACAAATATGTCTTTGAGATCCTGCTTCAGTTCTTTGGGTTATATACCCAGTAGTAGGACTACTGCATCATATAGAAATTTTAGTTTTTGAGAATTCTCTATGCTGTTTTCCAAAGGGGTTGCATCATTTTGTATTCCTACCAGTATCATACAAAGGTTCCAGTTTCACCACGTTGTTGTAAGCGTTGTTTTTCTTCAGTGCTGGGAACTGAATCCAGGGCCTTGCACATACTGAACACATGATCTCCCACTGTGTTGCTCCCCCTGCCTGCCCTATTGTATTGTATTTTATTTTATTTTTAAAATTAATTTTATTGGTACATTTTATTGGTACACTTTAGGTATACAATTCGTTTACATTTATCATTGGGTATTTGTACCTGTACATGATGTATCTTGGTTCTTATTTTTTTCCCCATTACCTGTGTGCCCTTCACCCCCTCCACCCTTCCCTATTTTCATAGATTTCATTTCCATTTTTTTTCTTTTCTCATAGTTTTTCCTTTCCCTCTTTTCTTTTCCCCTTCCCCTCCCTTCACTCCTTTGTCTTTGGACCTTTTTTCCTATTTCAAATTATCAATTATTCATTTTAATCATTTTAACTCTTGTTTACACTATCAATTTTTCACACTAGTGAAACTATTCGGTATTTACACATGTGTGTCCTATTTATTTCACTTAAGAGTATGGCCTTGATATGCATCCATTTAGCTATAAATGACTCTAGTTTTTTGTTCTTTATGGCTGAGTAGTACTCCATTTTATTAAAAAACCACATTTTCTTTATCCAGTTTCCAGTTGATGTGCCTGCCCTATTTTAAATAGTGGCTTCCTAATGGATGTGAGGCAATATTTCACTGTGGCTTTGGTTTGCATTTCTTTCATGATTGGTGATGTTGAGCATCTCTTCATCTGCTTGTTGACCATTTGTGTATCTTTGTAGTAATGTTTAAGTCTGCCCAATTTTGCATTGGATTGTTTGTCTGTCCTTGTTGTTGCGTTGCCTCCTGTATTTTTTCATATGTGCTGGCTTGCTAGGTCTGGCTTGTCCTAAATTCTCTGCTGATTGACTTTCCCCCTTTTCCCCAGTTCAAGCTCTGCCTCCTCAACAAAACCTGTTACAGGCTATCTGGAACAAGCTTAGGATCTTTGGCATCATCAGGAACTCTGCATTACATTACCTTATATTGTGTGCATAACTTATTTTGCGTTTATGTGTCTCTCCTCCCCACTTTTATTTAAGTCACTTGGGGGATGGAAACCATTTTTACTCTCAGTGCCCAGAGGACATCTCTTAGGAATGGTGTCTGAAGGCGTGTTTAAATAATATGAAAACTGAGTGTCAATGTTAAAACAATTAGAAACCAAATTAGTTGCCGTCTTTTCTTGGTGGCTGATTCTAAGTGACTGCTGGAAATACCAGGCAGGATGCTGTAAGTGCCCCTTAGAAACGTGT